AGTGGGACCCTGTCTCAAATAATAATAATAATAATAATGGTCTTGCACAGTTACTGTGAAGTACAGATGAGACTCTGTCTATTGTGTCTGATACACAGTAGATGTTCAATAAGCAGTCACTTCTACTTTTATGCCTTTTCTTGGCAATGGATAGAGGACTTTTTGTTTCATTTTTAGTGCCACTGTAGAATGGTATCTGTATGTGCAAGTACTATGTTAGAGCAGAATTTGCCTTAATATTTGCCAATTAACTAACCCTCTGTGTTGGCCAAAGACTGTGGCACAGGGAAATTGTATGCAGCCACATACTTCCTACGGAACGTCGCCCTGCAGATTCCTGGGGCCCACTGTCTGCACAGCGTCTCCCAGCCCTCCAGCTGGACTGCCCCAGTGCTGCCCTCCGAGTCCGCCCCCAGCACATCCTTCCATGTGGGCCCCATTCGTGGCCTCCTGTGGAAACGTTCCGCACGTTCCGGTGTGGTCTCTCTGCCTCCAGCCTCTTCTCCCCCGCTTTTTCTTTCTTGACTCGGTTCTCTGCCATGTCCCTCTGCAGCTGTGCTTCAGAGCCTCCGTGGCAAAGGCAGGGCCCGGTAGCAGAGACTCCAGAGTCCCCGCAGGACCCCCTGTTTTCTTACTCAGCTCATTCTGGAGCTGAACGGAGCTGACGGAGTCTGCGCACCACTGCACGGGCGTTCCTGCTCCTGCTGTTTGTCCCGGATGGGCTTTTCCTCCATTTCTGTTGGCTCTGCCCCACCAGGACCCAGTCATGCACGGCCTCTTTGGGAAGCCTCTCCTGATGCGCCTCGCCTTGTCCTCCATTACCTGCCCCACCTGCAGTGGTGGTTCTTCCACACCTGGACGACCATCACGTCTACAAGCACTGGTAGCATTCTGCCTGGTGCCTGTCACGTGCCCCTAATCGACAGTCACTCCCTGGATTTCCCCATCCCAGCCTTCCTCAGAACCTGTGTCCGGTAGCCATCCAGTGAATGTTCACTGCATAGAGAAGGTTGCCTGTTTTTGCGTCTTCTCCAGTGAAGACTGGACCTCACTTAGTAACATTCCAGGGCTAAACTCCCCAACCCCTCCTCCATGCCACCCCTAGAGAAGAGTCTGTAAGGGAAAATTCCCAAAGGAAATTTATGTTCGTGTCTTGATAGGCACTCCTCCATGCTGATGCACAACAGCTGTTCACTATCTTTTGTAAAATCACTCAAAAATAGCAATTAAGTTGCTCCTCGGACTTCTCTTTTCCAGGATATTCAACCTCAGTTCCCTTAATCTCCCTTGTGGATGCTTCCCCTTTTGATTGTCAATATTGCTCTTTCTAAATCCTTTCCAAATTCTGCATCTTCCTCTTAAATATCTTATGGGAAAGGTGAAGACTTGTTTTCAGTTCAGAAGACAGCCTCTTTTTTTTTTTCCTTGAAACAGAATCTCATTTTATCGCCCAGGCTGGAGTGCAGTGGTGTCATCCCTGCTCACTGCAACTTCTGCCTCCCAGGCTCAACCCATCGGCCTACCTCAGCTTCCCAGATAGCTGGGACTATACAAGCATGCCACCATGCCCAGCTAATTTTGTATTTTTGTATTTTGCCATGTTGCTCAGGCTGGTCTTGAACTCCTGGCCTCAAGTGATCTTCCTGCTTCAGCCTCCCAAAGCATTGGGGTTACAGGCATGAGCCACCGTGCCCAGCCCAGAAGTCAGCCTCTTGCTCTGGCCTTCCTCAGGTTTGCTTGAAGAATGGGAGCTTCGGCCTCAGGGTTCTGGACATAGAAATGTCCCTCTCTGGCTGGAAAGGAAGCCAGTGAAGGACACTTTCCTACCTGTGCACAAGTAAACTTGAAGTTACTTTATTTTCTAGTGAAATGTGTAAAGATGGAGGTAAGATAGATTTTATAATGTGCGTTGATGACAAGGCTGCCCAGTGGAAGGCCTATGCTTGTTGAGTGTGAATGCACTGTCCCCACCTTATCTGCTGCGGCACATGCCACTGGAGAGGACAGTTCATTTGGTGGCAGGGTCAGGTTCCTGCCCTTAGTCCTGAGCAGCCTTGGGCTTTCGGAGCTCGCGGAGGCTTCTGAAGTACTCTGTCTTGCCTGCCCTGATTTAGAGGCACAGGTCCATTTTCTTCTCCGACCCTCTTCATTGGTGTTTCGCTCTAACTGGTCAGTCAGCCCCACTGTCCTCTTGGCAAATTGGTACTGCCCATTAAGGGCATCTCTAGCCTCTCTCCCAAGTAAATAAAGCTTAAGAAAGAACACTGACCTGGCCGGGTGCAGTGGCTCAGGCCTGTAATCCCAGCACTTTGAGAGGCCTGGGTGGGTGGATCATGAGGTCAAGAGATCGAGACCATCCTGGCCAACATGGTGAAACGCTCTACTAAATATACAAAAACATCTCTACTAAAAATACAAAATTTAGCTGGACATGCTGGCATGCACCTGTAGTCTCAGCTACTCGAGAGGCTGAGGCAGGAGAATCTCTTGAACCCGGGAGGTGGAGGTCGCAGCGAGCGAAGATTGTGCCACCGCACTCCATCCAGCAGCCTGGTAACAGAACTTGATCTCAAAAAAAGACAACACTGATCTTACAGAAGGTGCTCTGAGAGTTTTCTTCTCTCTTCAAGTCTCCCCTGCCTCCATCACACACACATAGACACACGTGTGCACACATCCATGCATGTGCACACTCCTACACTCTCATAGCTTACAGGGAGACATGGCCATTTGCCTTGAGACGGGTGCTGTGAAATGACTACTGAGAAGCAGTGGAAGACCCAGCGATGGTGGCACTGGCCTTTCTGTGAAGTTGACCCACAATTCCACTGAGTCTGGGACCCTGGAGGGTCTGTAGAGGTAGTCCCCTCCCCTTCTCCTGCCTGGAAATCACACAGAAGGCCATCATCTTTCATATGAACTCAAAGGCTTTTTTTATGTGTAAGCCCTCTTTCCCTCTGTGAACTTTTTCTGTGTTGAAATAGCAGTTGCCTTTTTTATTTTTATTTTTGAGACAGAGTCTCGCTGTGTCACCAGACTAGAGTGCAGTGGCGCAATCTCGGCTCACTGCAACCTCCGTCTCCTGGGTTCAAGCAGTTCTCCTGCCGCAGCCTCCCAGGTAGCTGGGATTACAGACATGTGCCACCACGCCCAGCTAATTTTTGTATTTTTAATAGAGATGGGGTTTCACCATGCTAGCAGGATGGTCTTGATCTGCTGACCTCGAGATCCGGCCACCTCAGCCTCCCAAAGTGCTGGGATTATAGGCGTGCGCCACTGCACCCAGCCAGCAATTGCCTTTTTAAGTAGCCTTTCCTTTTGCGCTTAGCGAGGGAGAATGAGGTGCATCAATGAGTGACCAGTGAAGGGGAAGAAAAGGAAGAGAAAATCAGTCCCCTTACCCTCCACCCCTACCCAAGCCAACCCCTCCCTCCCTTTCTACCTCACTGCTCCCTCATCTGCAACACCACCCACAGGATCGGAGGAGGGGGGCACCTGGCCTTTAGGCTCCTTACCTCTGTGTAACACTGTATCTTTTCATGACTTCTAGAATTCCAAAAGGGAGGGAGAGAGCAGGTCTATATGGTTACATACTTTTATATATGCTATATTAAGATTTAAAAGATGCAGAGCTTCACAACTTGGAAGTGTCTTGCTGGAAAAGTGAATATTTTAAAGGAATACTTTTTAATGAGTCTACAATTAAATGTGCGTTCATTCATTCAAATAAAAAATATGAGGACCCTTTTTCATACCAGGGATGAGATCTCAGATGGTTTCAGTTCAGCGAGGAGACAGTAACTAAGGTGAGTAGTTGAACAAGGACTCAGTCACAAGCTGGGGTGGACGCTGTGAGACACAGAACAGAGAGGGGGACAGATGTTACGGGCCCTGGGGAGGCCTTGCCTCAGCCTGGGAGGAGGTCAAGAGAGGCCTCTCTGTAAGCGGAGATCCTGGGTATGAGCAAGAGTTATCTGGAAAAGGTTGAGAGGATGGGTCTACTTTAAGCTGCGTTAGCCAAGGAAGACAGGAGGACACAGCCCGAGATCTGGTGATCCTAAATATACTGAAGACTTAGTGAAAGGAGTCGTCGAGTCAGCAGGGCATGAAAGCGCAAGAATTTCAGCTGACTTTTGGCCGGGCGCGGTGGCTCACACCTATAATCCCAGCACCTTGGGAAGCCAAGGCGGGTGGATCACAAGGTCAAGAGATCGAGACCATCCTGGTCAACATGATGAAACCCCCGTCTCTACTAAAAATACAAAAATTAGCTGGGCGTGGTGGCGCACGCCTGTAGTCCCAGCTACTCGGGAGGCTGGGGCAGGAGAATTGCCTGAACGCAGGAGGTGGAGGTTGCGGTGAGCGGAGATGGCGCCATTGCACTCCAGCCTGGGTAACAAGAGCGAAACTCCGTCTTAAAAAAAAAAAAAAGAATTTCAGCTGACTTTAGATAGGACATACCAAGCAATCATAACACCTCAAATAAAGCAGAAGGGGGCGTGCTCGAAAGCAAACAGTGGAAGTGGTCATTCCTTGCTCCTGAGCCTTCTGTGGTCTGATAGCGATTTGTATTGCTTTGCTTGTTGTAACCCATCTTTCCTATAAAGTACCGATTTTGTGTTGACGCACTAAATGCTATAATGTTCAGATTTCACTTTGCTTCACTGCGCTCCAGGAAGCAGCCATGCCCGATGTATGCTATGAATATGCCTTATCCTCCCAAAATTGGCTTTCCCAACCAAATCGTTCCTTTCAAAGCACTGAAAGCACCTGTGATTCTGTGCCCAGATGTTTAGATTTCATTGTGCATGTTGCTATTGATGAAGAGAAGCTGAGTCATGGGACTGGGCTTTAACCAAGGGGAGAGTTGCCCTTTCTTTAAAGCACAGGCACTTCTGGAATATCGATGCTGTGATGTGCCCAGTTAGAGAGAACCAGTCTGTATAATAAGTGCTCTGTCACTTTTTAATCCTTTACTTTTTGTTGTTTTATTTCTAAAGGCTTGAGTTGTCTGTTGAAAACATCTACCAAGACTGGCTTGAGAGTTCCGGAATACCAAAGGTAACTAATAACCACTTTAGTAGAGTCCATGGAGAACAGTGTTGCTTGCTGCTTAGCACATCAATCATGGTAGTGATTTCTTAATGTATGTGTAGAAAAGTAATTATCTTGTTGAGTGCAAGTATCCATAAGTCAGGATGACACTGGTTTCCCTCCGCATTTCCGCCTGTCATTGTGGGATGTGCCTCTGGCCACTTTCAAGTGACCATGGCATAGGTGGAAGTGATGGTAGTCCCTGAACTCCATGCTAAATGAGGCCCTGTGAAATGTGAGGTAGATTTTGGGCAGAGCCACGAGGCAGCAGTTCCATGCGCCACCCCCACCCCCACCTGGGGCAGGTGGCAGGGGGAGCGTTGTGTGTGGAGCGGCCAGCTTCCAGCTCTGCTCTTCGGCCAACATGAGTTGGTTTGCTGCCGCTGTCATCTGTCCTACCCCATGGTCCCTGTCCCTTGTTTCCCTGGCATGCCTGCGCCTCCCTCCTCTCTTGGTTCTGCATTGGTCTCCTGTCTCAAACCGGCCTTCTCACCTGGCTGACCCATTTACATTCGTTTCTCTGTCTTAGGGACCTGGGCTCATCCCAGCTGGAGATTTTTGTTCTCTCCCTCCCTTTCAGTCCATGGGCAACTCTAAGGGAGAAACCTTTTTCTGGCCATCCCTATCTCTGTGGATATCACCTGGCCTGGGGTCCCCTCTCCCTGTCTACTCTCCTCCAGCCCTCCATCCCCCAGAGACCATTGGCCCAGGCCCCTTCGCCAAGTCGAATGCTGGCCCTGACAAGCCTAGGTCCTGGGAAGTCTGAGGGTGGCATCCCAGATGTGTGGTCAGAGGACCCTGCAGGCCGGAGCTCTCTCAGTCTGGGGCAGCCCCCAGAGTGGCTGCAGGCTGGGCCTGACCCAGGGTCATGGGCTTTGGTGTCTGGGGGAGGACCCGTGTGATGAGGCAGGCAGGCCCTGTAGCCTGGTGGTTTCTTGTTTCATGGCCGGTTACATGAGCTTCCCCTTGGGAGGGTCTCAATGTCAGTGAATGTCTGTGAACCATGAAATGAAGGGACAAGGGGGGCTGCTCTCCATTACCTTTTCATCCCCTCCTCACTTCTTTGTCCATTTTCACCACACAGGGAAATGTCAGCCATCAGCCACCATAAGCTCATTCCTAAAAGAGGACAGTTTGCCTTCAGTTCAGGAATGTGTGTCACCTGTTACAAATTACTTTTTTTACCCAGTCTTTTCTGGGAGCAAAAAAGAATAAAATCCCGAGTCTTACAAAGAAAACAGACCAGGGGTGGGACAAGGCAGTGCGTGATTGGGGGCAGTGCCTTTCACTCATGTGTATGACAGTGAGGACCCGTGGGCTCTGAGGCAGTGACTTCCAACCAGACTGCTTGCTGAGGACAAACATGCAGAAAAAAACAAGTTAAGCTTTGCCAGTTATGAATAACCAAGCCTTTGGTAAAACTCCCTTCATGTTTTAGATGGGAGTGTAGGTGGTGGGGGACGTTTGCTGAAGCCTTTTGCCTTGTGATCCTAAGCCAGGGTGTTACAAGGCTCCCAGACATTCTTAGTGTGACCTGGAAGCTGGGAGCTCCAGTAACTGGCTCCCAAATTTCCTGGCCTGGAACAAGAAGGCTGCTGTTTGCAGCCGTTAGCCCCTAGGCAGGGAGAAAGAAAGAGACCTTAATCCAGTGCCCAGAAGCAGGCGCACCCCACTTAGGCTTTGGTGCTGGGGCTGGCCCTGTCACTGCCAAGGGCTCTGTAATTTCCCCTGCAGAGGAGGAGGCTTTGCTGCCAGCAGGAGGCTTTTGGTTTTCATTAAAAGAGGGAGGGGTCTATGGATGGGAGAGGTTTGCCTCTGAGCTATACATTTTTTCCAAAGGTCTAGTTGCATTAGGGACAGCTTATAATGTAGACAAGGATCTCTGCTATAAACTGAAGAAACCTGCTGTCAAAACAGCCAGGTGCAATGAGGCCAGCCGGCTATAAATTGTGTTTAAGACCCAACTGGTATTTCCTTGGGTATTTCACTGTTCAGTAAAAAAAGCGTCAGACAGAAAGGACCCTGATTTAGCGCATGCCTTGCCATTGGTGTGTGATCAGATGGCGTCTTTCATCTCTTCTACCCATTTCGGCCATGGTTTCCGTGGCTGCTGCTGATTTACCTGCTTCTGAGCCGGTTTCCCACTCCTCGAGAGTTCCTTCTCATTTCCACTTCAGTGAAAGGCTCTACAAGGACCTGAGACCCTCTGGTTACAGGAGGTTCGTGGTGAATGGGACACCTTGTTCTTTGTCCCCATCATTGTAATATAAAGTTACTGGGATTCTTGCCCTGGAATGACAACCAGGGCCCTGAAATTGCTCTGATGCTCTTTGTTCTTGTAAAAATTTCTGTCCACCAGCAATTGAAGTCATTCATGACAGAAGAGTCACGTTCTGCTCTCAGAGTTTTCATTCCACAGTCTACAGAGGCTTTTTGTCATCCCTTACGAAGACTCGCCTTGTGGTTGGCCTCAATTTTCCTTTTTGGCTATGTCAAATGGAAATCATTTTTAAAAAGTGGAAATAGCTTCAGTGGCAATAAAAGTGAGCATGAGCCCTGAAGAAGCAAAATAAATTGGATCTAACCCTCTTTAAACAGTATCCCAACTCTGTCATCTTTGTCCTTGCAAATTGCGAGATTTAAAATTGATTGTACCATTGGTACTATAGATTATTTCTTTTTATGACGTTATTTCTGATTGTAGAAGAATTACACATTTACTCTAGGATGTTAAAAAGTCTAAATAAGAAAATAAAAATGACCCCGAGACAATTTTTTATGTACCTCTTTTCACTCTTTGTTCTGGGTATGTAAATACATATTTTGCTCTTTTTTTTCTCTCCCTCTTTAAAAGTGAAAATAACATGCCCTCTATAGCAAATTCAAACAATAGCAAAATAGAAAATGTGACTCTCCTTGCTGCCCTCAGTCGCACCTCCAGAGATCACCCACACCTGATAGCAGCCCGCTGTGTCCGCCCACAGTTTCCGTGCTGAACAGCATGTAGGCGCACATTCCTTTGTATTAAAATTAGAGTCTTATCTTCCAAAAATCCTTTAAATTATTCACTTAAGGATGTACAGAGAGTAGTTTCCCACATTCCTTAATATAATTCAAGAACAATAATGTTTTTTTGTTTTTTGGAGACAGGGTCTCACTCCGTCACCCAGGCTAGAGTGCAGTGGCCCGATCCCAGCTCACCGTTGCCTCAACCTCCCAGGCTACAGTGAAAGGGCAATACTTTTAAAGAACTACACCACTTCCTGATGAACAGCACCATAATCAAATTTACTGGGGGCCTACGCCCCACTGTTAGAATTGTATGCTGTGCAATTATTCTCACCAAGTTGCACATTCTACTAATTTGACAGCTCTGTAAGTAGATTTTGATTTTTTTTTCATTTCTGTCCAAACAAAGGTCTTCCTCGGCCCCACAGCTATGTATTCTAGTCTTCTTTTAAAACACTTATATGCAAATATACAAGAAATGACATTCTGCATCCAGCCTTTCTTCTACACTCCTTATTTTAGCTGCTACAGAGCTCTTTTTTTTTTTTTTTTTTTGAGAAAAAGGTTCCATTTTGCCCCCCAGACTGAAGTGCAGTGGCGGGATCTCAGCTCACTGCAACCTCTGCCTCCGGGTTCAAGCGATTCTTCTGCCACAGCCTCCCAGGCAGTTGGGACTACAGGCATGCACCACCACGTCTGGCTAATTTTTGTATTTTTAGTAAGGGATGGAGTTTTACCACATTGGCCAGGCTGGTCTTGAACTCTTAACCTGGAGATCAGCCCACCTCAGCCTCCCAAAATGCTGAGATTACAGGCAGGAGCCACTGCGCCTGGCCAGTTGCTACAGAACACTGACTCCTCCCTTTCTTTGATTTCTTCCCTACATTGCCAAGTCCTGAGGCCCTTCTGTACACACTTATCAAATATCTAATTTTCTTTCCTAGCACCTCCGCCATTTATAAATTATGCTTTGTTTGGACTAGTGCAATAGCTAACTGGTCCGTTTTGATTCATCGCTCATATCAATGCCAGGTAAATCTTCCCACAACACAGCTCAGACCCATTCTTCTCACCAGAGACTTTTCCTTCATGGACAATGCATTTAGAATAAACTTCTTGCCCTGCTCTTTGAGGCTACCAGCAGACTGCTCAAAGCCACCCTTTTCAACTTTATTTCCCATCATCCTGGAGATATGCCTAGTCATGACTATTAGTGTACAGGTATTTGCAAGCTTTCCCATCAGCCTGCCCTTGTGCGTGCCCTTTGCTCCTTGGCATGCTTTCCTTTCCCTGTCTTTAGCATGCATCACAACCTACCTTTCATTGTTTCTGTCTGTTTATGTCCCATGCCGTGCCCTACCCTCCGCCCCTGGAAAGAAGGGTTATGTCTCTAAGCCTCATCCTGTAGTACCTGTTGTGGTGCTTATCTCTTTTGGGCTTTGCATATATTAGTAGATGCTCAGGGGCTCACCATCCAATGCACTAGCTACCCTGTGGTTGGTAAGCATTTGAAATATATCGAGAGCGCCTGAGGGGCTGATTTTTCAATTTGATCTTAATTAAATTTAAATTTAAAATCTCATAATTTATTGTTTGAAATACCTTGGGTATGTGAATGAGTCTACTTTTTCAACTCTGAATATTATGAAATATAAATAGAGACCAAACATTTCTGATTAAAATTTAGCACCAAAATTGAGATGGACTATGAGAACATATCAGATTTAGGAGAGTTAGTACAAAAATGGAGGTAAATATTTCATTAATGTTTTTAAAAATACTGGTTACATATTGAAATGATAATATTTTGGATACATTGCAGCTCAATGTAGACACCCGATAAAATATATTAAAATTAATTCTACCTGTTACTTCTCAGTTTTTTGTCTTTGTTTTTTTGAGTTGGAGTCTCACTCTGTCACCAGGCTGGAGTGCAGTGGCGCTATCTCAGCTCACTGCAACTTCCATTTCCTAGGTTCAAGCAATTCTCTTGCCTCAGCCTCCCCAGTAGCTGGAACTACAAGCACGTGCCACCATGCCCAGCTAATTTTTGTATTTTTAGTAGAGATGGGGTTTCACCATGTTGGCCAGGATGGTCTTGATCTCCTGACCTCATGATCCACCCACCTCAGCCTCCCAAAGTGCTGGAATAACAGGTGTGAGCCACCATGCCCAGCCAGACTTCTTACTTTTTAAATGTAGCAACTAGAAAACTTAAAATGACACATGTGGTTTGCACATATTCCTGTTGAATAGGGCTGTTCTAATGCTATTAGTTGAATTAAAATCTGAGTACAGAATAGATATGAGTGAAATCATCTGTATTTTTGTCAAATGTGTGGGTAAAGATAGAGCTGGTTAATCCATAGACACCCTTCAATTTGCTGTGACAGCACGGATGATGAGAATCCACAGGTTCAGGGCGGGAGTGCTGGGTTCACAGTAGACATTCAGAGGGCGTGAACTAGCAGCCTTGCATCAGCTCTGGGTTTCAACTCCCGGTTGACCTGTTTCCTGAGGTGTCAACAACAGGTACACTGCCTCAGGTGAACCTCACATGTCTTCTGTACCTCAGTCTCCTCTTTGGAGGAAGTACTCAGCAGCCAGTTCCTAGCAAAATTATTCGCAGCAGCGGCAATAAGGAGGAGAGAGAAGATGGGAAATGAGCCGACAAGTAATGTGTCCCAGAAATAGGCAGAAAGCAACTTGGGTTCCCAGACTTGCTCCTGAATCCCAGAATTTAGAACAAAAGGTTATTTTGTCATCTTGGGAAAATGCCACTTCTTTCCAAGCAAACACCTGCAAGTTGCCAGAGGCTGCACAAGCAGATGACAGAAAACTGAAGTCTTGTAGGAAAAATGCTGCAATCATAAAAATGAGAATACTTGATAAGACGGTATGCAAGAGGCTTTCTGTCATTAGTCACGATGTGCTTTTAGCACAGGGAAACTCAGCTGGTCTCATCAGAGAATAACTAGTAGGCTTCTTATAGCACGTATTATGCAATATTATCAACATAATTTTAAGGCCCATTAGGATACTCGATCTCATTCGTGTCTATAAGAATTCTACTTTAATAGTCAAGAAAACTGAGACTGATTATTTTGCAAATTCCAGAGAAAATATATTTTTCAAATTATGTGTACCATGATATCTTTGGTTCTTTTATATCTATAATAGCAGTTGCCGTAATGTGGTATACTATTTGGGCTCCTAATAATTTTGCTGTCATTTTTGTCCAGTAGTTCAACTTACATTTTCTAAGTGACTAAGCTTCTTGTCAAGGATCCTTAAAGACACATGGAGTAAGTTCTCCGGCCTCACTTGGGGCAGCACCTAAAATGCCTCTGAGTCATCACAGTCACTTCTGTTCATCTGAGCACATGGCCCCCTCCACAGGCTCTTCAAATTGCTCTACTGCTTAGCAGAGTTGCAAGAGAGAGGGAGAGGGTTCATGAAAATTGTTTCATTTTTAGCTCAATTTTCTTTATTTTTGGCATCTAAGGTTTTGTGCTCATGTGAGTTTGCTGGGGCTGCCAGAACTAAGTACCACAGACTGGGTGCCTTAAACAACAGAGATTTTTTTTTTTTTTTTTCACTGTTCTGGAGGCTGGAAGCCCAACACCAAGGTGCCAGCAGGGTTGGTTTCTGGTGAGGCCTCTCTTCTCAGCTTGCAGATAGCCACCTTCTGATCATGTCCTCATGTGATTTTTCCTCTGTACGCATGCGCGTCTGTCCTTACCTGCCCTTTTTATAAGGACATCAGTTGTATTGGATTAGAGCCCACTAATATGACCTAATTTTACCTTAACTTCCTCTCTAACTGCCCTAACTCCAATACAGTTGCATTGTGAGGTATAATGGGGAATTAGGACTTGAACATATGAATTTGGTGGGACACAATTTAGCCATTCCTATTTGCCTTATTCACAGTATGTCTCTCACTAGTTCCACATTCTAGTGAATCCCTTCAAAATGGCCAATAAAAGTTACTCAATGCAACCTTGCTGTATTTTATTCCCTCATGGATAAATGTGCTCTGGGTACATTTTTTGGTCCCAAATGATGTTAGTATCTAGTGAGTGCAGAAGAATTAAAAATCGTATCTTGGGCTGGGCGCGGTGGCTCAAGCCTGTAATCCCAGCACTTTGGGAGGCCGAGGTGGGTGGATTACGAGGTCAAGAGATCGAGACCATCCTGGTCAACATGGTGAAACCCCGTCACTACTAAAAAAATACAAAACATTAGCTGGGCATGGTGGTGCATGCCTGTAATCCCAGCTACTCAGGAGGCTGAGGCAGGAGAATTGCCTGAACCCAGAAGGCAGAGGTTGCGGTGAGCACGCCGTTGCACTCCAGCCTGGGTGACAAGAGCGAAACTCCATCTCAAGAAAAAAAAACAAAAATCGTATCTTGATGGCATGAGAAATAAATGTGCGAAAGGTCCATTTCCCAAGAAAGTAGTAACGGCTGAAGGTCTGTGCTAGGTGTTGTGTATCATTGGGGCATCTGATTTGACACTGTCCACATATATTGACCTCTTTGCAGCACAAGCCACCACAATGAAATAAATATTTTTCTGTGGTATCCCAAATGAAAGCTAAAAGCTGTGTTCTTCCTTCATTTCTCTTTCAAAACCTGATATCCAGAACGAGTTTGAATCTCATTCGTAGTAGTCTAAGACTACACTCCAAGTGAATAACAAGAATTAAAAGTGTTCCCTCTCTCTCGAAGACTTCCTTTGTAAGCGTCAGAGCTTAGGCT